TCCTCAGCCATCGTACCTGTGCAGAGCCAAAGGGGAGAAAGCATGTTCAAGAGTGAACGGGGCAGCCCCTCGCTAGTATGACGACCCCACTGCCAACGCAGAAGCCAGCAGTGCGGAGGCTTCAGAAATTTGGGGAAGAAACCAAGTTAAAAGTGAAAGAGAAAGGTAGATTTCAAAAGTGCTTGCTTTCAGCAGATTGACAAACCACAGCCTATTTACTTTTTTGTTGAACTGTGGCAGAAATGGTTTGCAGCATGATTTCTGCAAAATGTTTCATTCAGTCATTCAAATATTAAAAAAGGTGGGGTCAGCATTTAACTTCCCACAAATCTTAACGTCTTGTGTAGCAGAGAGACTGGAAAAAAGCTTCCTCCTCTCTCAGAAGTCTTACTAAAAGCCTTTGCAAAACAAACCAGCTTTGTGGCTCGAAGTCGGCAGCTGAGACTGGCTCTTGAGAGGCTGGGTAAATGCAAGTTAAGGTAAGCCTGGGGACCCAGCTACGTGGCAGATACACAGAATGGTGTTTTAAAAACCAGTAAGCCAGGATCATGGGATCGCTGAGGCTGGAGGGCACCTCCGGAGATCACCTGGGCCCACCCCCTGCTCGGAGCAGGGCCAGCCAGAGGAGGTTGCTCAGGGCAGTGCTATTATCTCCAGCATCTCCACAGACGGAGACTCCGCAGCCTCTCTGCACAACCTGTTCCACTGCTCAGTCATCCTCAGTAAAAGAGTTTTCTTACGTTTAAACAGGATTTCCTGAATTTCAGTTTGTGCCCATTGCCTCTGGTCCTGTCACTGGGCACCACCGAGCAGAGTCTGGCTCCCTCCTCTTCACTCCCCCCTGCTCCCCATCAGGCGCATACACACACAGATAAAACCCCGAGCCTTCTCTCCCCCAGGCTGAACAGTCACACAGAACTGCCTGCAGCATACCTGCGAAATACCTCCCCGCAGGATCCACCTTCCCGTCATTGAATCGGTTGTTTGGTTTATCCTTGTCCACGTGAGCAATGGTGGTTACCAGCTGCTCTTTCCATTTCAAAGCGGCAAACCTGGTTCCCAGGGTGATGACATAATCCCCAGATTTCCGGAGAGCTACAGAGCTCACGGGAGCGTCTACAAACAAGGCGAAATGGAAGAGAGGTATGTGCTCGGGAGAGACATTTCTGCCCACTTTAGACACACAAGCAGTCACACCGAACTCAGTGAGCCCACAGGCAAGGGAAACAACCTACATTTCTACCAACAAAACTGATGTTTAAATACATAGAAATAGATTCTTTCATGCAAGGAAGGCATACTTCATGCATACAGAAAGCTGCTACAAAGAGAATCACCAGTTTGGGACATATAAACTCACAGAACTGAAGTATTACCACTGCTCCCAGGAGTGATAATCATTACCAGCACTTGGTTCTGCTAGGTGCTTTCAAAAAAAAAAAACAAAAAAACACCAAAAAAACCCACACAAAGGGGGACAGATTCAGGCATGTATGCTTTTTACAAGAGTTTACTGTGTGGGTTCCTCCCTCCCCAACGGAAAAATCAATTGCCACAAGATCTCTGGAGCAACTGTGTTTGTTTAGCCCAGCTCCTGGGTAAATCAGCCCTGCGTGGCGGTTCAGTCGTAACTCATGGAGACAGCGGGTATCTCCGCACTGGGGCAGGTCACGCTGGGCAGCAGAGCCACGCTGCGCACCACGCTCTGCTGTGCGGTTCAGACGTGCCTCCAGCAGCACCAGCTGCACGCCAAGGAGTGGCAGAGCACTTGGAAACAAGAGTTAAAGCAAAACGGAAAATTAGTAAATGCTCCATGGTTAGTTTATACTCATTTGAGCTATTATGCAGTAAAACCTCAATTGCAGGTTATTAGAAAGGAATTAGTAAAAAAACAAGAGAAATGAGTATGAAGACAGCGTTTCTGTAAAAGCCTACAATCAGACATAATGTAAGTAACAATAATTTTAAACAGGGCAACAAAGTCTGAGATAATATGCATGGGACTAATCACCAACTTTCTAATTTAAAAAATAAAACATTTCTTGTATTTCTAGCTTTGCAGAGGTATAATTAGGTAATAGTTTCACACACGTAACTGCCCCAGGTACCACTGCTGCTCAGAGGAGCTGCTCCTTTCTGGCTACTCGCTCGCGGCTTGTGACGCCCCTTCCCTTCGCAGCCCCGGCAGCGGTACCGCCGTGCCAGAAATCCGCATGCTATTTGCCCCCAACACCCGAGATGCACACCTGATTGCACACTAAACCTCAGGCAGCTCCTTCGCCTCCAGCTGCTGAGGCTGCTGGGGGTCCGGGCTCATCTGTGCCAGGCGAGCGGGTGCCACGTCTCCTGCCCGTGCCAGCACAGAGGGCTAAGTCCCCTCGGCCACGCGTGGCACTTGCCAAAGGAAGCCATTTTGCTGCTCTTCCAATTGCCAGCAACCACGCCAATAAAAGCGCTTTTCTGCCTGAGCTGGCAGCAGGGGCTTCGCCAGCAGAGTGTGGGAACCCAGCTCTCCGCTCCCAGCTCGGGGAGCAGCCCCCAAGCACAGCAGTCCGCACACCCCTGCCTGCCTGTCCCTGGAGATGCTGCCCCCCCCGGGTGCCCCTACAGCCACGAGCACAACCCCGTATTCCTGACAAAGCACCCCAGGGGAAAGGGGCGTATCTGGCCAGAGGGACAGGGACAGCCACCCTGCTGTTCACTGCACAAACACAGCCTGAGGGGGCACATCGGCCCTTGCACCCGACGCAGTCCACAGCCGCCCCAGGGGGCTTCGCTAAGCAGCATCCCTAGGAAAGTAGTTACTTGCAACACCGTCTGACGCCGAACAGAAAGCTGACCACAAGGTCTCCCCCTCCGGGCACGGCTATGTACGTAGCGGTGTTCTCCCTGTGGAGCTGAAAAGGGCATTTCAAGCTGTTGCTAAGTGCGGGGTTGTTGCAATTCTCTGTAAGCTTCAGTAAGGAGTGATTTCTCTCTGCTGGACATCAACCTGCTATTTTAATCACATGGCACCCTTCGGGTGTTTGGAGTTCTTTTGTTTTTTTTAATCACAGTATTCCCAAAGGCACAGCTATTAACTATTTTATTACTGAACAGAGGAAACAGAAGTGGAAAAAAAAAATAAAAAAAGAGTAGCTACTTCAGCTACTATCCTTTCTACATCTCCAGAGAGGCCACAGGTAAAAGATTATACCTTTGAGAGCAGGTCCGAGTCGGGGAGGGAGGCAGGGAGATGCATGCTCCCTCAGCTAAGGTAACAGCAAGTAAGTTTGGGAAGCAATGTTTCCAAAATAAATATCATGCCTTCTCTCATCTAAAACTGGTAACTACAGTAATTGGATGGCCAGATAAGCCCAGATCAATTTATTGTGAATAATGTGAGCAGCTTATGGGTGGGCAAAAGCAAGTGATTTTCACCAAGTGCCACTGATCATGAGAAAGTAATAAATCCAAGTACTTAAAGCATTTGAGGAGCTGTCTTCAAACAGACAAATATTTATGTTATCTCATCCAGAAGTAAATCTCATAGAATCATAGAAAGTTTTGGGTCGGAAGGGACCCCTAGAGGTCATCTAGTCCAACTCCCCCGCAGCAAGCAGGGACACCGCTAACTAGATCAGGTTGCTCAGAGCCCTGTCCAACCTGGTCTTGAATGTTTCCAGGGATGGGGCCTCCACTACCTCTCTGGGCAACCCGTTCCAGTGTTTCACCTCCCTCATTGTAAAGAATTTCTTCCTTATCTGCAACTCTTTCTGAGAGTTGGCACATCTCTTCCTTTCTGGAATAAATACTTAAAGTATTGAGGCTCTAGCTAGCCATACAGCTACCTGAAAAAAAAACCATCTTCTTAAATTGTTATGGGAAATTTTCTTCTAATAAAGAAAACGTTATGGGCACAGCTCATGCAAATCAGTAACAAAACTCTCTCAGATATCAACAGCAGAACTTTACCTCTGGGACAAAGAGGGAGCAAGAGATTGGGCTGGGAACAACTTACAGGAAAGAGAAGTGGATCCAACATTACCCATGGTAATGATAAGAGAAGTCCTCAGGGCTAAGTCTGGCTGATACCTAGTGTCTGTGCACAGCACAAGCCCCAGTGTCCTCCTTGGCCCAGGAACGCCAGGTTTTAGGGATGGGTCTCCAGCAGGCGAGCCCCATGCAGCAGCTGGGGCAGCCGCCTCACCGTCAGGCGCCCTGCCCGCGTTCGGCAGGGACGCGGTGCTGAGCCAGCAGGCACAGCTCCCGCCTTCAGCAGAGCGTTTCGGGAGCCGCTCCTTACCCACGGCGATGGCCTCCACTTGCTTGGTGACCGCGCTCCAGCGGCACACCTTCCTCCCCGTGATGTCCACGCAGAGGAGCGCGCTCTCCTTCTCGTCCCAGACGGGCGACTCTCCGATCCCGTAGCCCTTGCTGGCGACGCACTCGATCTTCACGGATGCCATGCCTGTGGGGAAAACCCCCCCGGTTTACGCACTGGTCAAGAGCAGCCGCGCACCGAAACCAGCCCCCGGCTCCGAGCGCCGAAACGCGGCCTTGGGGTGGGAAACCAGCGCTGAGGGGTGTCACCTGCGCAGGGGCACGCAGCCTGCTTGGGCGGCCTGCACCGGCCGCCCGCTTCGGGCCAGCTACCGACTCCCATGCGCCCAGCAACGCCTGTACGTCTGTCTGTCTCTGTGTGTGTCTGCGTGTGTGGTGCATCCGTCTGTCTCTGTGCATGTGTGTGTCTCTATGTGTGTCTATGTGTCTTTCTCCGTGCCTGCCTGTCTGACTGTCTCTGTGTCTGCCTGTCTCTGTCGGTCTGTCTCCGTGTCTGCCTGTCTGTCTGCCTCCATGCGCGTGTCTGTGTGCACCTGTCCCG